ATACAGCTGAGTTTTGGATTTAACTGTGTTCTCTCGTTTTCCAAAATAATTTGCTTTGTGTATGTTAGGACAAAAGATTTCTGTGTTTGGCTGAGCAGAGGTCACTCATGCGTACAGGCAGCTGCCCCAGACCCACAAAACAGACCTTGGTGATACAGAGAGGCTGACGCCGTCTGAATAAATCAGTACCTGCCCATTTCCTTTAAAAAAAAAAAAGTCTCACTTAAGATTAAAGACAGAATGCAAACCCTCCCTACACCCAGGGTTAGCCCACAGCGTCCTTGTCTTCGTGAGATCTAGTCAGACCTCTGAAGCCACAGTGGCCTCAAAGGCAGTTGGCAGTGAGAATTCTTGGTGGAATCACAGGTCTGAAAACTGGCTTTTCTCCTTATTTCTGTCCTAAAACTTACCATCATTATAAAATTCAGTATTTACAAGGTATCGTTCCCCCCACTCCATCTGCTCTCAAGAAAGGAAACGAGAAAGTCACATAGGAAGAGAGGCAGGAAAAAGCGCTGTTGGGAATTTGTCTTACAGAAGTTCCCAGAGGCAGTTACGTACTTGTCCAAGTTGCAGAGATGCTGGAGTTAGTTTTTAAGTTTCTCTGCAATCAGAAACACCCAGTGCAGGGCTCCTACAGGACTAATACTAAGTAATAGGAAAGACTACCTTCTTAAGCAGGTACTGGCTGTGCACTGTGGTGCATGCCTGTCCTCTGAGCACCTCGGGGGAGCCAGGCCAGTCTGGGCTACAGAGTGAAACCGTCTCAAAGTCCCCAGGCCCAAACAAAACTAAACCCCACAGAACACGCCAAAAACCATATTGACATAGGTCATCCTATATAGATAGTGTGAGCGTCTAAGCTTTGTGGGCTGGGGGGCGGGCTTTGTTTATGTTTGTTCTTGAGGGGAAAGATAAAAGGATATTGCGCTTCCCGAGTAAGGTGAGATGTCGGACATATCTTGAAGATCTCCACACTCAGACTTTATGAGTGACAAAGAGAGTCCTTCTGCGGTGCTGGGTGGGTGTGCTGGTGAACAGGGGTGGTGGCTCAGATGATGGGATGACATCTTGGTCCTCAGACTCGTTGTGTCCCTCGTCAAGTCTAAGGACTCAGGAGAGGCTCTATCTTTTCCCGAGAAGGAGCCGGAGGGAGCACCTAGTGGACTCTGAAATGGGTAGGCCATCAAGGGCAGGGGAAAGGGATGGCGGAAGCTCGGGGTGGTGAAGCCAGCGGTGGCGGAAAGAGGCGACTGGTGGAGGGTCTGGTGGTGGCCACCAGCGGCTGGGCCAGAGGCAGATTGCTCGGATGAGTTTTTGCGGACCACCAGGGGAAGGGCTTCCGTCTGGTCTGTGGAACTGGGCATCTGCACATTGCCAAAGGTGTCCAGGGGGTTCGGAATGATGACGTCACCAAAGCACTGCAGGCGCTGGTTGGCCGTATGAAAATTGTGGTTTTCCCCATTGACTGCGAATCTGGCCTGGGGGATCTGGAGAGGTGGGAAGACCTGAGGAACCTGGCGAGAGGGTTTGGCTGAGAAGACTTTGACCACCGTGTCCACGACCTGTGACATGGCCGTGTTCAGCTCCTGTTTTAAGGTCTCTGCCAGATGCTTGCCTTCTGGCTGCAAGGAGTTTGGCCCGTGGTCTCTCTCTTTGTTGCTGCCTTCTCGCTTCGGCTTGTTCTCGGCCATCTCCTGCTCCCTGATCAGGGCTCGAGCCCTGTCGATGAACTGCCCCGGGTCCAGCTCACACATCTCACTGTCGGAGCGCCCCACCGAGTCCTGGGCCCGTGCATCCAGGATCTCCGATCGCATGCTGTCTTCAGACAGGTCGCCATCTTCATCATTTTCAGAGTCCGTGCTGTCATAGACCTGGTAGAACTTCTCCTGCAGCTGGCGCAGCTGCTTCTGCATGTCTTCCAGCTGCTGTTTCAGCTGTCGGCGCTCCTCTCGCTTCTGTTCTTTTCGGGCTGAAACCAGCTGCTGGAAACTCTGTTGCTGCTGCTGGGGCAGCTTCTGCTTGCGTTTGTTTTCTCTGTAACTTTCTCGGGGACTAACAGACTGCGGGGCCATCTCTCTTTCATTCTCATTGCCCCTTAATGCCACACTGGGGGAATGGCTCATACCCCGGATGATATTCTCAACCCGGGCGCGCTTTGCTCTCAGGTGCTCATCGCATAAGCGATCCACATCAAACTGGCTCATAGTAGGCCTGCCAAAAGGGGAAAGACACTCTGGGGGGCTGTCTCTTGAAGAGTTGCTGCATATATCCTCCTGATGTACTTCCGAGCCTGTGCTGGAGAGGCCGCTGGCTTGGAAACTGGGCTCGGTGCCACCGTTTTTGTTCATGTTATTTTTCAACAGCTGGGAAATTATAGTTGCTCCTGGAAAAGGCATCATGGCATCTTCATACGAGTTCGCCCTCTTCAGCAGCTTGCGGAGTACGTTCGACTTTTCCCCATCTGCGTGTTGCACCACAGAATATTCAACATCCTGCTCTGAGCCTTGGGGATTCATGGCACTGAAAAATGTTGCCCTTGCCTTAGCAAAAAATGCAGATGCTGTCCCTACTGTCCTTTTCACTCCAATGTCAACCCTTCTCCTCTTGGTTTGCCGGCTTAAGAGGGCTGTGCTGTCATGGTCAGGCATCACTGGACAGTTATTGTGCCATCTTCAAAAGCTCGTCAGCTGGGCACAGCTCAAGAATCCCGGGACCCTGGCCAACAGAACAAAAGGACTGATGAATCATTTTCTTTAAATTTCTCCAAATTTCCTGACCTCAATCCTGAATCAAATGCAAAATGCATAGGCTCTGGGATTTATGGCACATCACAATTATTGCAATTTATCATGAACTCCGCTTGAAATGAAACATTTTTAAATATTTCTGCTCCACTGGTTTAAGATGGATTAAGATTAAAAAAAAAAAAAAAAGCAAAAACTGCTTAAGCACCAGTAATATGATTCTCTTTCACAAATGCCTAAAATGATACTGTTTATCTTCGGAAGAAATGGCAGATTAGAAGAACACAGCCTCTGACGAGCAATTGATTAAATCTGGGGGCATTGAGATTCTTATTATAAAGGAAGAGGGGAGTGGGTTACACTTAAGGAACAGGGTTAAATTTTGAGGCCGCATGAAATTTGGATGAAGATCTGATCTGGAAAGCACTGGGGCATTCATGTTACTGAAGAAAGGGAAGGCTCAACTAGATGCAGATATTTAGCACACACTTACTACTGAATTTAAAAATCAGTCCTGTCATATGTGAAATGGGAAGAATATTACTGGTCTGTTAAGCACCGAGATAAAGGCAGATACTCATTGTTCAGTATTGCTTATTTAGCACAGTTATGGGTTTTGATCAGTGAGTTCACAGGTATGGTATCTGTTGCTGTGTCCACATATAACAAGGACATGTTTAGAAATGGTCACAGTATCCTTTTGGTGGCTCCAATTGTTAGAAAGTTAGACTGGCTGTTGCTACATATTGGGAGCCCGTATGTGTAACAGTGCATTACGGGGCCAGGCAAGAATACACACATCTTTAGTACCAGTTTTGTTCTGGTGAAATCTGCCAAAACAGTACTTCAAACAGCTAAGGAACTCTTACATATATACCATTTGTAGATATTGTTGCCTATGCCAAGGAAAGCGGAGGAAGGGGGTAGGGAAGCTAAACAGAAGAAGCAACTGGAGAAAGATATAAAAAATAAAATATCAATCAAATATGTGAGAAAGGGAGATGGCTTCTTTGTACGTGAACTAGCATTGTTTTAGGGGGCAAGATATAAAAAGGAAACATCCTTGCCTACATTTTATCAAAGGCCCTTGATACATTGTGTCACTTAGTAACTAGCTCCAGATTTTATATGCATGAAAAAAAAAAAAACACAAAAAAAAACCAGCACATCTTTTTGTTTACAATTAACGTTTTATGAAGAAAATGAAAATACTGCCTTCATGCCGGGTTTATCTGATATTGAACTTCGAATTTGCTTAACAGACCACATCTTCACAATAACAGGGTCCATTGCCAAAGGCAGCGTGTGGAGTGCTTGGAATCTCTCCCATCTCTTTCGGTTCACCTGTAAAAACATCTACGTGCTCCCTAGGAGTACATCTGTGGCTAGTTTTAAAGAATGACTACCCATGCAAATAGGCATAATTTCAGCATGAAATAATCTGTAAAAATCAAGAAAATGCTCCATGCTTACATGGCAACAATATGTTGGCTTTTTTTTTTTTCATGACAACTATTTCACCATGCTGTTTGCTCTTCGTGTTTTTCTCTGAAGACAAAATATTTTTAGAAGAGCCTGCTTCAGGGTGTCCTGAGGCAAGGTGGTGGTTCTTTCTAGAGATCTCTGTGTGTCTGAGTGAAACACTTCAGAGCAAAATTTCCTGAATTTGAGTTGGAGTTTGGGATCTCAATGACTTTAATACTGGGTTCAAAATTAAGTTCAGAACAACTGAGACTCCTCATTCACTAATAATACAATTGGTTTGGGGATGACAAAACCCAGCCACACGTATTTTGCTGACAGCACATTGAGCCTGCCAGGTAAAGCAGGTGCCGCTGTCAGGGGAGAGCAAGAACAGGAAACGGGTGATTTCTGAGTCACAGAAATACTTGGATATGGGTGGTATTGAGGAAGAATCTTTTGTGCATGTATTAACTCTCTAAAACCAGGGCTCCTTGCCATCATTTTAAGTTTTTTACATCATTTGTATGTGTGTGCAAATCTTTTTTCTCTCTTCAATACCTGCACAGCACAGAGACTTCCAATGAAGACTGAAGCTCTTGGCTGTGCGCCCCCCCCCCAGACACACACACACACACACACACACACACACACACACACACACACACACACACACACACACACACAAAACCAAACAAAGAATATCCAGAGCTCCTGGCCATCTTGGACTCTGCAGAACACCTCTG